CGTTGGACCGACCAGGGTTATTTTTTTGAAGCGCGGCCGAAGGCCGCCAGTGCGGAAAGAAGTTTCACGCGATTGAATTTTGAACACCCCGGTGTTGGACCGACCAGGGTTATTTTTTTGAAGCGCGGCCGAAGGCCGCCAGTGCAAACAGGAAATCTAAATACAAAAAATTAATGTTAAAGAGGGTATATCACTCTCTTTAAACTTCAATTTCTATAACGGAATTTTCTACAACTAAACAAGGTACCGTTTCTTTTTTTGTCCGTTTTGCCATTATTTTCATATTCAAATTTAATTGGTGAATATTGTGCATATAAATCATTCCGCAAGTGTTTATATTTTTTACATAATTTTTTAAATTGTGATAATTTTTGAGAAAATGAGTGGAAATACATCAGGTATGTTATTAGAAATTTAAAATTATAACAAATATTACTTAAGACTTTTAAATAGATTGTAATGAACCGTCAACCAGCCGTGGTGCGGTAAAAAAAACAAACGTTCTCAAAGTGTCCGAAATTAAGGAAATGTGGAATTTCCCTAAAATAATTCAAAATTTCGACACAACGGAGAAATGTATATCGTTTGCAGAGGAGGAGGGTTTAATTTTAAAAAGCAAACTATGTCGTACGCATAGGATACCTATGTTGGTATCCTTATCAGATAGGAGCACGGTTGGCATATTCCGATGCCGGAAAGGTGCCTGCCGTAAACGGACTGCGGTGTCGAGGTCGAGTGGGACATGGTTTGAAAACGCAAAAATACCACTGCCTCAGATTTTTTATATAATGTTTGCATTTGCATCGCACTGGTCCCATTCGCAAGTTCGAAAGAACAGTTTTATTAAGGAGCCAATTTTATCCAGCGCTACCATATGTGATTGGTACAATTAGTGCCGCGAAGCTGTAGTTTTATACCAGGTTGATCACCAGGTAGCGGTAGGTAAAATTGGCGGCCCTGGTAAAATTGTTCAAATAGACGAGAGCAAATTCGGGAAACGAAAATATAACAAATACATTATTATTTATTATTAATTATTTAATTTTTTCTTTTTTAGGACGGAGAGTGGAAGGCCACTGGGTTTTAGGGATGGTAGAGGATGGGAGTGACGACCTTCGGCTGAAAGTGTGTCCCGATAATGTGAGGTCTGCTGAAGTGCTCATACCCTTAATTCAGAGACACGTTTTACAAGGTAGCATCATATGTACTGATTGTTGGAAGGCGTACGACTGCCTGTCCAGTCACGGGTATGAGCACCGACGCGTTAACCATAGCGATCCAGAAAATCCGTTTGTTGCCGAAGATGGAACACACACGCAGAGGATAGAATCCCAGTGGCGCGTTATCAAACGGTTTTTTTTAAAAGACAATTATAATAACAGTGAAGATTTCTCGAATTTGATTTATGAATACGTATGGCGTAAAAATGTTGCAAATCAGCATCACGATCCATTCGTAAAACTATTAGATGCAATAAAACATACCTTTAAGCCATAAAACCTGTTTCTTTTATTAAAATGGAAAATTTAGTTCATATTATTTTGTAGAGGGTAATTGGGTTTTTTATTTATTTTGATTGCTGTCATTCGTTTGGATATGGCAACACTTATTATCTGACAACATGGAACCCATTTGTTATTGTGCATATAACCAAAATTGTGTAAAAATAAAATGCTTAATTAAAGCAAATATTTAAATAATTAACAAAAAAAAATATGTAGAAACAATGTAGTGAAGTGTTAGTGTATAAAAAGTGCATAATATAAAAGAAAAGTTAACCATAAATCGAGAAATTTTAAAATAAAATTTGTGAAAGTTTCAACTTAAAATGCAAATATCTCGAAAACTATAAGTTTCCGGCGGCAATAATTATATATATTCGTGATCTGGAGAATCTCCTCTATCCAACCATACCCCTTTTAACCCTGAAATCGTGGGATGCTAAACTAAAGTTTTCCCGAAAATTTAAATTGTTTTAAAGTTGGGGAGTTTTACCTTTTTTTTTAAATCAATTTCATTAATTTTTGTAGACGTCGTTTTGTGAATCATTTCAGAACACGTTGATGTTTTTTGAACAAATAAAACTTTTGATTCCAAAAGTTTTGGAGAATAAAAAGTAGATATTTTTTAAATAACATATATTTTTTGACCCCATACCCCAAAGAGTGTTATTTAAAACATTTACTCAGCTTATTTTTTAATATTTAAGTTAAAATCTTTTAGTAACCACGGTTTCAATAAATTAATACATAAATAAACATAGTTTTTAAAGCTAAATAGCAATAAATATTGAATCGAAAAATAATAAAAATACAGAAAAATTATATATATAGTTGTAAAATTAATAAATTAACAAATTATCAAACAAGTTCACTTTTGGTCAAATTGGTCATTAGTCAAACTAATGGCAGCTGTCGGACAAATTTTCCAAATCAATCAGAATTACAGGTAATTTTTCATGTATTACTGTAATGAAATTAATGATTAAAAATTTTATTTATTTATTTTTTGTACAAGAATTGTTATTGTAATTTCAAGAGTAATCGGTGTGAGAACGTCTGGAACTATTAGCTTTTTTAAGTTTATTGTTGAACATAATAATATCAATTACCTACTAATGATCCTGAGGGATTATTCGGCGCTATTTATTTTGAAATTCAATGAACAACAGGGTAATTATTTGTCAATTCACTAGATTGGATATTAATTAATTTAATTTTTAGGTTGTTCATGTTTGTAATGCACGAGCTATACAACGAAATTATACTTGTAATGTCAACGTTGAATCAAGCCAAATTTGTGTCTGCGTCGATCACAGAGATAATATAATATTAACTAATTTGTTTATGGGTGTGGGTCAAAATCTTCACCCGCTGGAAAAACGAGATAAAGAAAACGAAATTGAAGAAGAATGACGATCATAATTGTGGCGATTTTAATATTATCTTTATCGAGTTTTGTTAATTGTTTAATTTAAGCATGCTTAATTTCAGCTCATCGAAGCGGGATGGCCATGCTAGTATTTAAAAAATAAATACATGCATATGTTAGGGTAAAATTGTACTGAAATTTTAACATTTCATACAAATCAGTACATATATACATTCATCATAGAAATATACAATATTGGTCAGTTGTGATTAAATTATTCATACTTATATATTATTGTAATGCCGATATATGGCCTCGAATATATATACCATCTAGAAAAGTTATATAATTTATTTACTTGTATTCATCTACGCACAGACTCTTTGGCTTACCATACAACTATGGCGAATTGCGTGTTGGATTGAAATCGGAAATTTTATAGTAGACATTTACGAATTCTTGATCCTCACCTCATAGTAGGGAATTACATAATTTTGATATTACGAGATGACAGTTCTCTGCGTATAAATTGCAGTGTTAGCCGTTACCTTCCGCAAGGTGGTGTGCTTCAAATGACACAGCACATTCTTAGCCTTTTCGACACCAGCAAAATAAAGTGTTGAGTGTCATCTTAAAACACTTAAAAATTACACAAAGTAAATGAATAAGTAGTGATCCCCTATTTCGCCAGGGCTAGCTAATGCCTACTGAAAAGGGGCCGTCCATAAATTACATCATCGATTTTTTCAGATTTTAGACCCCCCCTCCCTATAATCATCTTATCGTCATTTCTTAATGACCGCAAAGCTTTTGTGCGGCTTGAGGGGTTTTATCAAAATATCGTCTCTTCACAGCAGAAAACAATCGCTGGTGCACTTTTTGTAAGTCAATAACCATTGCGGATCGACTATAGTAATAAATAGCAGTTTTCTGATTTTGTTAATTATCGAATTTGCGTTAAACGCGTGATGGAAAAATCTGCGCGGATAAACGTGTTGCATCGTTCACGTTCGTACTCAGATTGACAGCGAACGAAGGCCGCAGGTCCGCAACGGTGCCGGTGCGCGCCAAAGACAAAGGAAGCCGACTTTGTTTAAACAGCGCCGATTTCTTTTATTCTCCGAGTCGCCGCCAATCTTCGAATAAACAAGTGTCGCATACAAATCATTTTCATAGGTACGATGTAATTTAAGTTTAAAAATAATGTAGACATGCCTTGACCTTGTAATAAATAAATAAATAAATAATGAGTTCAATAATTAATACCATTAAATACTTGCAAAATATCACAAGAACATTATCTTTCCTTAGTATGAGACGTGTAATTAAGTATAAGTATAGTATTAAATTGTAGTTAATATTTAAGTATTGTGTTTATTAGTATGCTAGATCTTAAACTACGCAACGGATTTTGTGCGGTTTTTAAATAGATAGACTGATTCTTAAAGAAGGTTTATATGTATAATACATGTATGTACCACGGGCGAAACAGGGCGGGCAGCTAGTATTTTACTAGGTGTGCTGGAAGAAATTTCTTTAGAATAATCTTTTGTACGTGAAAAATAAACTATAAAATAAATACGAATGACGTCAATTTCGAACACCCCCCCCCCACAATCTATCATTTACCGTCATAATATTCGGAAAATCGCTCGAGGATGTCATTTCTAGGTCAATTATTTTGACGTTCGATTGGAATATATCGTCTTTCATACATGGTGGTTTTTCTAACCAGGGTAGTACGTTTTCGAATCGAACCATGAACAATGTCTTCCATGTTTAAATGCATTCGCACCATGGGTACTGGTTTGGCTTATAGTAGCGCTCCACACAGTTCAATTCGTGGTAGACTATTGTTTTAAGGGAGCCACTTTTGCTTTTGCTACTAGTAAGTGGTTTGTGGTCTCAGTGTCGCTTTGTGTGCGAACGTATATATTGGCGCAATATGCCTTTTCAGACGCGTCACAGCACAGTCGTCGTTCGACTTAGTGCTCTGTGGCATAGTACATATCGTGGATTTGTATCTTTGAGATATTTATTAGATTGCATGCAAACTAGGACCATTTTCCACACGAAGTGGGTTTACTTGTTCGTCCCAGTTAGTTCCATCTAACCATAATTCTTGTATTAGGATTTTGGCTTAATCAAATTGGCGAAAGCCATCGGCGGGTCGAAAGTTTTGCCAGAGGATAGAATTTGTCGCTTCGTTATGGCGGAGAATGCAGGTATTGGCTCTGTAGTGTATGAAAACTTGTCAGATATCGCAGAGTTTTTGTTGTACTTTCCTTTGTTTGAAGGTAATTAGTATCTACCAATTTTCATTTGGTATTGTTTTAAAATATGGGTGGTCTCGCCGTTATCTTTTTCAACAGAAACCCTACGGTTTTGTGGGCTGTAACACTGGGATAGTGAATCGTATGCTTGTGGAAGACTGTGGCTTTCAGACAGGATATCCTCATACGTTTGTGCTTTTAACACTTGGCTGATATGGAGTACAGTTGACGCCAAATGTAACTGTTTTAGTTTATAGTCGCTTAGGGGACTATGGGGGGATTTTCGGAAAATAATACGCCAATTTAAAATAAGTAGCACTAAATCTGGTTAGAGCGTAGGTCCCTTAAAAAGGATATCATTTAGAGAATCGCCTGAGCTAGTGGATCTTGAGGCATTGAAGACAACTCTTACTTTAGTTGTTCTTTTTCTGGTTGTACTAATGCAAGATGTGGCAAGTAAAATTAGTAGTATTTGCCATTGATGATTTTTTCGCATGGGCTTACTTCCTCCATGTGGTCCAAATGGAGTAATGGTTAGGGTGTATGAAGCATCTATTAGTGAGCAACGGTACGGTTGAGTTAGGTGTTTAACGCCTTTGGTAATGGGGAGAAGGGAGAGAGAGCTACGCAGTAGTGTTGATGGTTAATGAGTGAGCATCACATGGTTTCAATACGAAGGTTTTAATTGTGTTGATTTGTGTTAATCAGTTTTTTTTCATTTTAAGGTATATTAGTAAACACCACTACTTACTTGACAAAATCACTACGCGTATGGGCAAGTGAGCTAAAATTAAACGAAGAAGAAATAGTTTTGTTTCTTTAAAAGGGGTTCACAAAAGTAAGTTAGGTTTCTTTTAATAAAACCCGTAAAAAAATATTTTTCAATGGAGCATAAGTCCTTATTAATGAGTATAATAATTACTGAATCTTAATTCTATTTTTACTTAACATTAAGCTTAACTTCTAAAGCAGCGCTGCCGATGTTGTTTACGGGAAACGGTTGACATTCCGTTCCCACGGGAAACAGTGTCGGTCAGCACTTTTTATTGCGCGTGCAATATGGCCTTCAGTGAAGAGTCGTATTGCACTTTACGTTTAGTTAGTGAGGAGTTTGATATTTTTAGGGAGGGATAGCTTATTTGGTGCTAACTCCTCCGCCCTTAATCGACGTCCTCGTTCGACGCTCTTACAAAAATTTGACAAATTTTGAATACCAATTTCATTTGTATTGGTTTCAGTTACATTGAATTATTTTTAATTCTCATTTTTTGAACATAATATTATTAAAATTAATATTACAAACATTGACAATATATTTATTGAGAAAAATACATTATTTTGTTTTTTAATAGATT